GTTTGGAGAATAGGTGCACACACAAACACACACAAACACACACACACACACACACACACACACACACCTTCTTCTTTGTTGGTAGCCCCACAGATATTGGAACATTGCTATCATGGCTATCATCCCTAGCCCTTCTTTTCATTAAACTAGACATATCTATTTCCTGCAACCATTCTTCATAGGTTTAAGCTTTCAGGCCACTAATTATCTTTTTATAACTAGGGGCTGGGAGAGAAGGGAAGGGGTTACAGCATCACAGCATGCAAAACTCCCACCCAAATATCATTGATGGTGTTTCTTTTGAATAGGCAAATGCCAAGATACAACGTCATGGCTCTTGTGGATCACAATCGGGAGCCAAAGATGCCTGACATCAAGATACGTGCTGTGAATGCTGATGGGATTCTTTTTTTTTTTTCCTTCCGCCAAAATTAAGTATATTCAACTTTTGGTATGAAGTAGGCTCTGGCTTCCGAATCAATAAAGAATGAGACAGAGTCATTGGGCCTTTTTCCCCCCTCCCCTTTAATTCCAATCTGGTTCGTTTCCATAATTTTAACCGATACATTTTGGCAAATCGTGTTTTATATTGCAAAGTCCAGACAGAAATCAACATTTTGGATGATTATGTTGGAAGCATATTTTAAGAAAGAAAGAAATAATACATTAGAAAGATTAATAGCGCTTTTGAGAGAGAGGGGGGGGGAGGGAGAGAGGGAGAGAGTGAGTTTGGAAACCCATCATAATAATAGCTATTGCTATTGTTCGTTATAATGTAATGAAAAACAGCAAAATGAATTGTTTACTGTGGCGTACAAACTCCTCCGAAAATGTGGCATCCTTCAGAGTTCATAGACAATTTCAGCTCCTCTGCCAGGATTGGTGGCAAAGAGGCTGTTTTCTTTCAGGGCTAACCTTTGCCCACCGTTTCTGTAATAAGCCTCCTTCACATTTGCTAGGAATCTTTCCAGTTTGTCCGCAGGAACCATTGACACAGTGCAGCCACCCCATCCTGCCCCAGTCAGGCGTGAGCCAACTGCTCCAGACTGCCTAGAGGAACAAAAAAATAAATAAATAAAACAGGATTCTTAAAGTCATAAATCAAGGGGAGAACGTGTTGTGCATGCAGGGAGCCGAATGGCAAATGCTGGACAGAAGTGGGTTGGATTTCTTCTAGTTTTCAAAAGAAAACAAGACAGACACGATAGGCAGCTAAAGGTCAGGTGGCCGGAAGGTTGCAACCCAGCTCTGAACAGCTGACACCTTAAACTGCCTGGGGTAATCTAATCTGAACTACGGATTTACTATGAACTTCATAGTTTAAGGTCATCCATCTGCCAGCCTTGATGTCTATATAATATCACCAAACCCCTAAGACTAGTGAATAGAAAACTGAATAGTAGGATAACATTTTACCTATGCCCTGAAATGGTTTCCTATAGGCATATCATTATCACTATTGGAGACAGTCCAGATTAGATTTGTCTTACACTCTAATCTCTCATCTCTCTTCTGATATTTTATGTACCTATCTGTCCACCAGAATTCAGAATTGTGTTTTTTTTTTTAATTTCCTCCCTAATGGGAATGGGGACAGTGGCTATTGATATCCCTCAGTGGCTCAGCCCCACCGTAATAGGAACTGCTGTTCAGGTAAAGAATTTGCGTGCAATGATTTACTCACAGTTTAGAAGTTGCAACAGCCCAATTTTGCCATACTTTTAGACGGTTCCTAAAATGTAGCTGCTGACCAGCTGTTTACATATACACCTCTGGGTCAATGGCCAGATCTGCCATGAGTTCTTCAGGTGTCATTTGAATGTTTTGGTTTCCAATTAGCATTCTCAAATTCATTCACCTTTGCCTAGATCAGGGGTGTCAAACACAATTCCATTGAGGGCCGCATCAGCGTTGTGTTTAACCTCAGGGGGCCGGGGTGAGCGTGCTAGGATGGGCATGGCCAGCTCGATGTCACTCATGTCAGGGGTGCCTGTGGTGGCCTGAGCACTCTGCCAGCGAAACAGGCTCCAGAGTTCCGTTTTCAGCTGTGACGGCCTCCTGCAACCGTCTGCTAGAAAAAATGGCGCTCAGGGGGGCTGCATACAGCCCTCCCAAACTCCATCTTTACTGGCAGAGGCACGGCGGGCCGGTTCTTCACTGTTTCCAGGGTGGCCCTAAGCACCCTGCGGGCCAGATCCAGCCCCTGAGCCTTCAATTTGACACCCCCGGCCTAGATTCTACAACATGACCTTACGGAGCAGCAGCAAGAGAAATCTGTCACCAGCATTCACTAGTAAAGTCCTTTTATTTCAGAGATCCTCAAATTCTGCAGTATACCAGAACTGAATTTATGTGGGGCGTTTACTGTAAGCGTTGAATGCCCAAATCATGCATCCTTTCGGACCTTGCCCTAGTCTACTCTAAGAGAAGGCAGCTACTGGCTTGTCCAGAAAAAGCGAGTCCAAGCACTTCCAGCAATCCAGCTTTGGTGTCTGCAGAGTCCAGGGGTGGGCATGGCCATGGTGGGCATGGCCTACTTGGCCTCCTGCACCACGGTGGGGGGTGGGCTTCGGAGGCCGGAAATGGGCCCATTTCTGGCCTTCCAGAACCTCTGGGAGGCTCATTTTTCGCCCTACCTGTGTGGACCCTGTACTTACCTGGCATGCGTGGGGACTCCTGGGAGGGGCGAGGTAAGGTTGGACAGGGTGGGAGGAGGCACCTAGGGGTGGGATTTGTGGGTTCTCCGAACTGGGCAGATTCTTAGCTAAAGGTTCTCCCGAACCTGTGCGAGCCCGGAGCAGCCCACCCCTGGGGCCCTGCCCCATCTAGGCATAACTGCAAAACACCTAGATACACAAATGTTTCTTCGTATCTTCAAAGGTTATAAGAAAGCTTCTAAGAATTGATAATCCGAGATACATAAGCAATGCACCTGCGCACTCTCTTCAAAAAGTTCTTCAAGCCCAAAGACAGCAATTGGCAATGATTATAGAGAAGAAGAAAAAACCACATTTCTGCATGAAATCGCTGCCCATTATTGTTACTATATTAGGTAAGTTTTATCCCTGGACCAGAAGCAGACAATAAAAAGCTAGGAGAGGAGGGGAGGCTTCAATTATCAGCGAAACATGCCAGAATAAAGTATGTTTTTTTAAAACAAACAACCGCTGTGTAAATTCAGAATAAAACGAAGAACAAGCTGTTGGTTGGATGCTGCATAATTCCTGTCATAAATCTCCTCAGCCAGGTTTCAGTGGCAAGCTCAGAAGAAGAAAAATCTGTGGCATTTTAGGCATACGTTGAATTTTGTCTGTCGTGGTTTTCCTTATAAAGGCCAAAACTGAAATCACTTTTCTCCTTCTTCAAATGAAATCTTTAATGCCATATTTTCATCTCAGTATTTCGCTTAGTTGCTGCATTGCTTCATTTATTTATTTTATCTTGGAGCTATCCTAAAAGTTGCACATCATTTCAGAATTTCCTCTCCACAAAGGACCCAGATGGAGTGGCTTCCTATATGGAACAGAGAAAACAGGAATTCCCAGCCAAACCAACTGGGAGGCTTTTGTATCTCAAAGGCACAGAAGGGAATCAGAGAGTCATCTTGAGATGGGAAAACCAAAACTACTTCTCTCTTCCCTGGGGATTATGGAGGGGAGCCCACAGAGGAAATTAACAGAGTTCCGTGCACCTTCGGTGTTGAGTCATGCCGGCCACATGACCATTGAGACATCTTCGGACAGCACTGGCTCTTCGGCTTTAAAACGGAGATGAGCACTGCCTCCTAGAGTCGGGAACGACTAGCACATATGTGTGAGGGGAACCTTTACCTTTAAAGCTCTCTATAAGAATCCGAACTATTTTAAGGGTCAGAGAAAATTGGTGGTAGGTAAGAGTTAACGGGATTCAAGGTGGGCTGGACATAAATCTCTTGTGGGCATGAAGGGACTGGAGACTGATGACACATTTGACCGCTCCCTCAGGCTCAGCCTGGTCATCTCCTACAATTTTGCAATCATTTGGCTCAAGAACCCTAAAGGATGTGGGTTTTATTTCTTAACAAAAGGTTTCCATTTAAATTGACTGTATGGACGCAATTGTCCCAAAATTCCAACTCACCAAAGAATACAGCACACTGCAATGGCCCAAAGCTTAAGTCTTTCTCATGTTGATCCAGAGTTTGTACCACAATGGCTTAGCATATACATTCCTCTGTGGCTTGAATGCCTAAGCTATCGCTTTGCTTGTACTGTTTATTTGGAATTGCTGGGGCACAACCAGTGGTGGGATTCAAATAATTTAACAAACGGTTCCCTGCCCTCATGATTTCTTCCAACAACTAGTTCACTAAACTGCTCAGAAAGTTAACAACCGGTTCTCCTGGAGTGGTGCAAACTGCCTGAATCCCACCACTGGGCACAACCTATACACAACCCTCAATGTCATGAGAACTGCTTGCCAACTTTCTTTGAGACCATACATGGTCTGAAACGGGAGAGTTTGAAGCTCCATGATCTCCATCATGGAGATGCTGAAGTGACGATCTTCCCCACCAGCTCTGCCAAGCTTGGAACTTCTGAGGGCCTCCTCCTACTTTTACAACACCTCCTAAAAAGAGGTAATAACTGTCACTTAGCTCCTTAGCTCACCAAACCACCGGCGTTTCCTGCTAAGCATTTATGGCATGACAGCTCCGCTCTGCAACCATGCTGAAATCATTTAGATGCTTTGGAAAGGGCCTGAGTCAGCATCCACCCTATTAGCGCCAACAGTTGCTATCAACTGGCCTAAACGCAGCGAAAGAGGAAACACAAGGAGACTTTGCTGTCGGAATCAGCCGGTCTGCAGACGCTGTTAGGTCTGGGGTGTTTTCGTTATGAATGGAAACTGCTCGCCATGTTTCTTCCTCTCTTTCTCTTTCTTTCTTTGCATTGTGGGAAATGCTGCACAGAAGACCCTGCTCACTCTTCCTGGGAGTTGGGAACGGCTTGTACAAGGGCTGAGTAAAATCGTCTTGAAAAAGATATTGGAAGGTTAGGAGTTTCATTCTTTGAATGAGTAAAGAAAATGGATGGGATTACATCTTGTATGTATGTGTGTATGTATGTATATGTATGTATGTATGTATGTATATGTATGTATGTATGTATACAATAATACAATATCAGAGTTGGAAGAGACCTTAGAGGTCTTCTAGTCCAACCCCCTGCCTAGGCAGGAAACCCTATACCGTTTCAGACTAATGGCTATCCAACATCTTATTAAAGACTTCCTGTGTTGGGGCATTCAGAACTTCTGGAGGCAACTTCTGTTCCACTGATTGATTGTTCTAACTGTCAGGAAATTTCTCCTTAGTTCTAAGTTGCTTTTCTCCTTGATTAGTTTCCACCCATTGCTTCTTGTTCTGCCTTCGGGTGCTTTGGAGAATAGCTTGACTCCCTCTTCTTTGTGGCAACCCCTGAGATATTGGAAGACTGCTACCATGTCACCCCTAGTCCTCCTTCTTTCCATTAAACGCATTCCCCAGTATTCCTGTGATGCCTGCAAAAATACACCGGGATGGTGGGAAAGACACCCTCAAACGCACCGCACCCTCCCGTCGGATCTCAGCCCAAATGAACATAAAACACCCAGCCAAACTGAAAAGGCAGGATCTTGGATCCCCCGCTACTCTTTCGACAGATGCCATGTGTAGGATTGGCACATTGTACGGTGTGTAATGGGCTTCGGAGCAAAATAACCCTTTCCCAAATCCTCTTTTCCATCTGTCAAGTGCCTAGGGAGCCGCACGGTGTTGAGGATGG